GCTTGTTGATGCATCCAATGCATTCAACTCATTAAACAGAGAGGCAGCACTGCATAACGTCCCCATTCGTTGCCCTGCTCTAGGCCAAGTCTTCAAGAACACGTACAAAAGTCCCTCCCGTCTGTTTGTGACAGGTGGCGGCGAGATTCTTTAACGCGAGGGAACATGCCAAGGGGACCCTTTAGCAATGGCGATCTATGCGGTAGCGATCATGCCTCTCATTAATTCTCTATCCACTCAATGTCCCAACACAACACAGATCTGGTATGCGGACGATGATTCGGCTGCTGGTACTGTGAGCAATGTATTCGACTATTGGTCCACACTTAGTGAAATCGGCCCAGAGTATGGATACTACCCCAATGCATCAAAGACCGTCCTTCTTGTAAAGGAGGCACGTGCGGATGAGGCCCGCCGTATCTTTTCTGGCACGGGAATCAGCATCATGACAGAGGGCTGCAGATACCTTGGCGGCGCGCTGGGATCGGATGAATTCCGCGAATCATTCATCCGGGAGAGGGTTGACAAGTGGGCTGCAGAGGTCGATCGCCTTGCGGAGCTTGCTGTCACCCAGCCCCATGCGGCATACACTGTACTCGTGCGCAGCATAATTTCTCGTTGGCGATACTGTCTAAGGGCGGTCAGCTGTGAGGCTACACAGTTTGCGAAACTGGATCAGGCCATTCGGGAGAAATTGTTGCCCGCAGTCTCCGACATGATTTTGCAAGATGATGACCCGCTGCGATGTTTAATTTCACTGCCTTGTCGAATGGGTGGGTTAGGTATCCCCAAGATCTCAGATTCTTGCGGGGTCGCGCACATAGAGTGCGAGCACACGGTGCGTCCCATCGTCGAATTGTGTGTGCCTCAATTACAGGAACAGCCTGCAGCATCATCTAGGTCTCAAAGCCTAGATGGGTCTCAAAGCCTTCATGTTGCATCGCCTCCTGCCGAATCGTCGGCGGCTTCTCCCAACACGCAATCATACGGTGTTGGAGAGGATGCAGGTGAGGAGGATGGTGATGATTGGCCGCCGCCACGACCTCCTGTGACAGCGCCATCTCACGGAGCTCGCAGCCTCATCAGCAATGCAGTCACGGAGTGTCGCAGGCGCCTGCAGAGTACCCGCAAGAACAGAGTTCGTCAAGAACAACAGACTCTCAACGACATCAAGGACAGTTTGTCTGAAAGCCAACGCTTTCTGGTAAACATTTGCAGTGGTGCCAGCAAAGGAGTATCATCCTGGCTCACGTCATCGCCAGGAGTTGCCAATGGGACGGTATTGAATCGCTCGGATTTCAGAGACGCTATCGCTATTCGTTACGGCTTGCAGCTGGATGGCCTATCCCCGAATTGTGTGTGCGGCAAGGCAATGACGGTGGACCATGCGATGACCTGCCCTTGCGGAGGGTATCCATCCGCCAGACACAATGAGGTCCGGGATCTCCTAGCAGATGTAATGCGTGGAGTTGTTCAAGACGTGGAGGTCGAGCCGAAGCTCCTTCCATATCAGGAGGAGCAGCTCCAGGGGGTGACGGCGAATCGCTCCGTTGAGGCTCGTGTTGATATACGGGCTCGTGGTTTTTGGACGCGGCAGCAGGAGGCCTTCTTCGATATCCGGGTGACGCACCCTAGGGCCAGCCTGCTGTCGTGTTCCAAAGTCACGAGTCAATTGGAGCGTAACGAAGGAGAGAAGAGGCGGCAGTATGGCGAGAGGATCAATACAGTTGATAGAGGGAGTTTCACTCCGCTGGTGTTCGCGACAAATGGCATGGCTGGGAAGGAATGCACCATATTTTTGAAATATCTGGTTAGCCTGATTCTCGAGAAGAATATCGATCTATCGTACTCTGTTGTGATGAGTCATTTGCGCTGCCGTTTATCGTTTTGTCTCCTTCGTTGGTGTATCACTTGTTTGCGTGGCTGCAGAGCATCCTATCGTACTAAGCGCTCTGCAAATTTTGTTCATGAATGTCGTGTACTGTCGCGTGTTTAAATGACTTGCTCAGTTTGCAAAAGATCTCCAGTTATGTTTTTTTAGTTTTAGTTTTTTTTGTTTTGTTTTGTTTTTCTATTACGAATGCCCTCTTCAGTGTAATGCCTGTTTCGTGCTTTGGAGTTGGAGTTACAATTGTGTTCTTTTCTTGTTTTCTCGCTACCTTCTCTGATTATTGATTTTGAATTGCCTTCATCATTGTTTTGCTTTGAATCTCTTTTTCGTTTTTGTTCCTTTTCCATATTTATAACTTCGGGTTCTTTCAAATAAAGATTTTGACTAGTAGTAGTAGTAGTAGTAGTAGTAGTAGTAGTAGTAGTAGTAGTAGTAGTAGTAGTAGTAGTAGTAGTGTGTGTGTGTGTGTGTGTGTGTTGGGGGGGGGGGGGTATGTACCGTATGACTATACCCAAATAATAATGTTTAAACATGCATGAGAGAATGTAAAATATAATAATTGTTGACATGGTTACTACATGTGTGCTAGTAGTATACAAAAGAAAGATTTAATTTTAATGGGACCATAAAGTGAACAATATTGGACGCGGTGGATCGGGTGCCAGCCAACACCAATTTGTCACGGAGTGTCGTGCTTTAGCTCACTGGCCGCATTAATGAATTATAATTATCTTGTCATTGACTCATATATCGCTGGCGTGTTGTTGGGCAAAAGTGCGTATACCAGTGGAAAGAAGAACTCATCGACGTGCACTGATATCGCATAGATATACTTCTTTTTGAAGTACTTTTTGAATACCGGTATGTCTCTTATACGGGAAATCACAGACCATGATATCACTGGCCTGACACAACAACTAAAGAAAAAGCAAAACAAAACAAACAATTTTTTAAAATAAAAAGACAATGAAATTTGACAATCTGCACACAATGACAACTCCATTCATATATATCAGTGTGGAATTCCGGAGTGTGGATATCAGTGTGGCATTTCGCATTGAAAGGTTATTTAAGCCAAATAACTACGTTACGTACAACCAGCGCCAGTACGTCAGCGCAAGATTTTCAGCGCTGCCAAACTGAGAGCCTGTGAAGTAAGTTATTATTCAAACATATTCGCCGGATGAGTACGCGTGGCCCAGGCACCATGGGGACCCACAAATACAAACCAGCATAATTATAATTATTCCCTCAGCAATACAGGCAAGCAAGCAAGCCAGCAAAGATAAACCTGAGAGGTAAAGTTAGTTTAATAGCGTGACTACAAACCAGTCATTTTTAAAATACAGTGGAATTTCGGTGAGCTGTCTTGTCCGTGATACATGTATCGCCATTCTGTCAAATGCCTTTCTGTGAAGTGTCTTTCGGTAAAGTGTCCAGTCGGTGGGTTGTCCATTCTGTGACTTGTCTTGCGGTGAAGTGTTTTTCAGTGAATTATTGTCATTTTGGTGAATGGTCGGTAATGGCAATAAAAGAGGAAGGGAGCGTCTCAGCTTCCTCGGACCAAGACCATTCGACTCAGCAGTCAGCACCTCGAAGACTACAACTGGTGGAAATTTGATTTCTGCCCAATCATCTTTCTGAGGCAAGTTACAGTTACAGTTGCTGGTGTTGTCTGTCGGCAAAGTGTCCTCGGTGCCATGAAGACTTCAGGCAAAACACATGGTTCGTTTTTCTGGGGCTGATACAATAATAACAAGAGTACATAACCCCCCAGAGTGTGCAACGCCTGATCCAGCTCCGCATAGGGTCTTGGTCGAGCGGAATCGGATCTTTGCGTCATAATACCGTACACATCTGAGGGGAACCCGGGGAGTCGCGGGTACTCTTGGATCAAAAACAATGGTGCCCTGCCTCGAGACCGGCCTTGCGCTGGTGTGAAGTGTACGCATGACATCAGAAGATCCGATTCCGCTCGACCAAGACCCTACACAGAGCTGGATCGGCGTTGCACACTCTGGGGGGTTATGTACTCTTGATAATAATTATCAGTACTAGCAAGAGTACATAACCCCCCAGAGTGTGCAACGCCGATCCAGCTCTGTGTAGGGTCTTGGTCGAGCGGAATCGGATCTTCTGATGTCATGCGTACACTTCACACCAGCGCAAGGCCGGTCTCGAGGCAGGGCACCATTGTTTTTGATCCAAGAGTACCCGCGACTCCCCGGGTTCCCCTCAGATGTGTACGGTATTATGACGCAAAGATCCGATTCCGCTCGACCAAGACCCTATGCGGAGCTGGATCAGGCGTTGCACACTCTGGGGGGTTATGTACTCTTGGTACTAGTATTAGTACCGGTACTAGTACTCAGTAGTAGATCAACATGACACTAAAACTAATGACTGTAATGATGACCCTGTACATCATGGACATGTCACAGTCAGTGCCACTACTACTTGAAAGTTCAAGTGGTCCAGGGCTTGAAAGTGATGACGTCAAAAACGGCCTGGGAGTAGTAAATTGACATCAGATTTCTATTTTGGATCCACTAAGGTGTGACTTTGCTATTGCCTCAGTATGTGGGTGCATAGCAACCCACTCATGTCGTATGCAGTTGCAACTTTTACTTCGCCACCAGTTGTCACCCCGCCCCCACTAGCCAAATCAGTCAGTTTCACTGGCAACATCACCTTGCTGTGAGTGAGACCGCTTGAAATGTGCTTGGATCCATACAAAAACTGGATCCAGGTGGATCCAGTTTTCGAATTTTTCAAATTGTTGCTATGCCATTGCTATGGAGTGACGTAGCACTTTCAAGCCCTGATAATCATTCGCAAGCCACCAGCCTGACCAGGCCATATCGCCATGCGCCAGGTCTGGGGGCTGTACATAATCATTAGCCTGTACTGACTGTAGCCTAGGACTCGGAGTCTACGAGTAAAGAGTCGTCGCCTTTTACCATGTTCACGAATACGACTCCTTGGCCTGACCACTGCTAGCTGAGTGCTAATCATCATTATGTTCATGTACATGACTGTACAGACAGTCATACCGTGATACAGTTTGAAAACCACAAAATCTGAGCTGCAAGAGCAGAACGCTAGTCCGGGCGGTAAAAAAAAGGCTAGAAAACAGTCGTTACCTTTCCTCACTAGTGCACGATCTTTGAGCGAGATAGACGTAGTCTATATTGATAGAATCGGTGTAGGTCTGAGTTTTTGTGGCAACCAGAAACATTTATCCAACCCTAGCCCACAAACTGTGTTGGTTTATCGGGCTAGGGGTCGTGTCGTGTAAACTAGATAATTGGACAGCACTGCTCGGTGAGAGAGAGAACGGCTGCGTATTCCTAATCTGCTGACACACACGATAGAGAGTATCATGTACCCGATTAGCAGTTCCAAAAATCTGGCACTGGCCAGACTTCGCAATTTGTGTAGTCGTTCTCCGACGTCTACCAGTGATCATGTCCCTGTTCATCATGCTGCGTCGGCTAGTGTCGACTACCCTGTCGCAGGTCCGCTCATGGCCACATCATCACCAACACAATCAAGTCCAAGGAGGTCGTCGCTACCCAATGCAGTTGTCAGGTTTGCAGAGATGCTGAAGAAACGCTACGTTGGTGCTAAGGTACTGTTGGGCAAGGGTATGTGCGCTAAACCGAACAGACGAGCGCTAGATAAGATGTTTGTGAATGTCGTTGTCATACCTCGTGAAGACCTGGCATCACTGAATGAACAAACATTCTTCGGTTCGCAAAGCGATGTGCAGAAGTTGAGCCATGTCTTCTCGCGGGTTGCGGACAAAGTGCAGCACGTGCAACTGGCCAATATGTTTGACTTTGACGGGGAAGACATTGATGAAGACGAATCAGTTCGTGTATTGGCTGTTGCATGTGCTGGCGCTGGCAAAACGACCATCTTCGTGTTGAAAGGTCCGCTGGACTGGGCAAGAGGTTTAATGTGGCACGAGTTTGACATTGTGAGTGCGTTAGCATTGCGTGATGCAAGTGTTCGACATGCCAGAAATGTTGTTGATCTGTTACAGCTAGAGCGCTATGGAATTGTAGATGTGGAGGAGCAAAAAGAAATTGCTTCCTTTGTTCATGCCAATCTGAAACATGTGTGTGTGATTCTGGATGGGTTGGATGAAACTATGCTTGGTGACTGCAGTGATTTTGTGCGTGGCATTATTCGTGGTGAGGAGTTGAAAGGCATTCGACTGCTTCTCACGTCACGCCATTCTGCAGAAGTGATGAAACTGTCTGTTTCATGTCCATTTGATAGGCGGGTTGAAGTACTGGGTTTCACCAAAGGCAATGTTCGCGAGTATGTGTACAATGCTCTCCCATGCACAGAGGCTAGCAGGCTACTAGAGAAGGTGGATGCTGATCCCAGCCTCTCAGCTATTATGCAAACACCTTACTTCACACAGTCGACGTGTGATGTGTTTCGTAGTTGTGGCTCTGTACCTTCATCACTGTTTGGTATCTTCATGTCGTTGATACTGAGTATGATTCGACAGAACACTGAGAGTGCGTATCCAGACTGGGTGTCTGTGCCACGCTTGCTGCAGGAGCAAATTCTTGAGTTGGGTCATTTTGCTTTTGTATCGTTAATGAAAAAGAAGGTAGTGTTCAGTGATTCTGATCTAGATGCAGAGCAGGTTTCTAGAGAAAGTCGATCACTTGGTGTTCTTGTGGCTTGTGAGTCACTGTCATACCCGTCCATCACTCAATGGCAATTCAGCCATCTTTCAGTGCAAGAATGTCTTGCTTCTCTTTACATGGCATCCACTAATCCTGATGCCAGTGATGTAGAATATTTGGTGAGGCAAGTAGGAGCTCTGACGGGTCACTTGAGCACGTTTTGGTGTCTTCTTGCATCACAACTGACAGCGGTCAGCAGAGAGTCGTTGATTGCATCCATTCTCACACAGCGTATCCCTGATAAAGAGGATGTGAACAAGCTGACATCATGTTGCGATGTGACAAAGTTTCTTCGCTGCTCCGAAGATGATCTTCTTGAGGTGGTAGAGTTGCTATGTGAGCATCTTGATGAGGCAGCAGTGCAGAGTTTAGCAAGGTGTCTTCTTAAAGATCTACTGCCAGACAATGTGAGTGTGGCACAGGCCATTGAAGAAGTTCTTCCTCACTCTTTCTCGTCGTCTTTGTACGACGTAGTCCATGCTCTTTTGCAGCTGTGGCGTCGCAAAGTCCCCCGTGCCAGTATGAGAATACTGTGCACTGCCTTGAAGTCGATCAACCCGCATGCATCCAACTGTCTCCACCAGTATCTTGTATCGGAACGCACGGAAGACTCACAGGCTGCAGAACGTCTTTCTTCAGCTGCGACAGACAGCTCTGTGCATTCTGTGATGACTGTTCCACCAACGAAGTCGGCATCGTCAGCTGACTTGCTACGTGAAAATTTAACTCCAGTTCGCCGCCAATTGTTGTTACTGGCTTGCCGTGTGTATGCACAGCCCAGTGCAGACACAGACAACATGACCAGCTGTAGTCAGTCACCTTCACCTAGTCTAGAACTAGCCTTCGAACATTATGGCTTTGATTTCACGAACGTGGCTGTCTCGCCCGCTGACTGTCATCTTCTTTCGTTAGTACTGAGGAATCACAGTAGGTCTGTCAGTGCTGTGTGTCTGAATGATTGTCAGATTACTGATGATGGTTTTGAGCAACTCACTACTGGTCTAACTCATTGTCATGGGCTGGTTGTATTCTCTATCCAAGGCAATGCACTGACTGACCGTTCTGTGGCACGTATCCATAGTGTTATCTGTGAAAACCACACAGCTCTTCGACAATTTTCCTTAGAGAATTTGCAGCTCACGTCATCTGGCTATGCTCAGCTGGTACCCGCAGTGATCACATGTCATGACCTGGGGTACCTGCACATAGGTAGTGTGTCCTGTCAGGATATCAAAACTAATGTTCTCATAGCTATCACCGTGCTGGCTTACTGTAAGTCTCTTGAATATCCCCTCTTTTGCTTCCCGATCGGTGATGATGGTCTTGTTCTGCTTTCTGGACTGCTGACAGGACGGCCATTTCGTTACATGGCCTTGGTGCATGCGATGCTCACGCCACACAGCACTGGGGTTGTCAAACACGTTCTTCGTGTGCACTCTCAGTACCTTTCACGGCTTGACTTGAGCGACAATGATCTTTCTGACATGTTTCTGTGCAGCATTGCACCATGTCTGAAGCAGTGTACATCACTGATCTCCCTTGTCCTCTCAGAAACAGGCCTTACATCCCAGTCACTTCCGGTACTCGCTGATATTCTGTCTTCTTGTCCTGATCTCCAACTTGTTGGTCTGGATGGGAATGACTTTCAAGCGGAGAATGACGAGGGCAGTAGGCAGTTTGCATCAGCTGTGTATGAATGTCAAAACCTCGTGTGCCTTTCAGTACCAAAGCGAGAGTTAGTGAATGATCAGCTATGGAGATTACTTGACTATGTTGCAGGCGAGAGAGCAGGTCAACTACGGATTCATTCGTAATGACATTGTTGGGCATAACCAACAGTGAAGATAACGTGTATATGCGCAGTGGAAGGAATGCTATCGCTTGTCAGACATGTAAACACTAGACACAGAGATGAACATTCTTGCTGGTGGTCATGTGATGTCATGTTGAACCACTGCTGGTGGTCATGTGATGTCATGTTGAACCACTGCTGGAATGGTTACTACTGTACATGGTACTGATCAGGGAAGTTGAGGAAGAGAGGGAAAGTGGGACAGGACGATATATAACACTCCAGTTGTGTCTGTTGGTGGAAACACTTGCCACACACACCTGCTGTGCGGAAGCCTGCTCGTTCAGTATAAGTTGTTGGCTTGTCTGTCCGGGAGCCCCGATGGTGGTTCAGCACGTTGTATTCATAAGATGAACATGTGATCATGCAATGAAATACTTTATTTTTAAGAACACTCTCTCACCATTTCACATTTTTGTGGCAGTTTTCACATTTCTATTCCATTACTTGACTATGGTATTTTATGCCTGTGACATCACATGCCTATGATGTCATAATAACTATGGTGTCGCTTCATCATCCTCAGCGATTCCTCGCACTCGGGCCACGGCTATGTGGTAGCCTGACTATGACATCACCAGACGTCATTGTGACATGACTATGACATCATAATGTGTCAGAATTATTTTTAGTTTGAGTACCGTATATAATGAGATAATTATGTTCTGAGTTCAGTGAGTTTATTGGACATTGGAGCAGAAACTGGTGGTACGGATGTTACGCACTGACGTTGATCGGGCTCAGCATGCAGTCACCTAACTGGAGAGTGAAAAGAGGTTAGTTTGTTGTGTGTTGCATTACAGTTGCAGAGTTGTATATTTATGACTGGTTCACACTAGGCCGAATTTTTGGTCCGTGCTCCAACACCAGACACCCTTAGCAAACAACGGTAACGCTATTATTTACGGTACTTGTACCCTTATCACCAAAATAGCGTTGAAGCTGCAGCGTAAAAACGTTATGGGGTGTGATTTATCGTTGTGACCAACGGTACGTTTTGTGGCCAAATATTGCATAGTCCGTACGCATTTCACCTTGTATCGCGTATATGGTGACATAAATGGTTGTACCGCGCGAAATAATAGCATTCTCGTGGCAACAGCGTTCTAAAAATAGCGTGCATCTTGCTAAAGGTCGAACGCCAATCACGGTATTTTCCCCCTTACGGTAATACCATTACAACATAACGTGTTTTGCGTAGGGTGTCTAATGACTCCGACATGAAACGGTCGACTGCGTCGGATGAGTCGGACTAGCTGTTCACACGCAACGGTGAGCAATTTTGCTTGTACTAGTTGTAGGCCTGTCAGCTCACACACGTACACGTACACGTGATACACAGCCGAGCTAGACCCTTGCCTTGAAGACACCATGCAGTGAAAAAATACACGTTTTGACACAAGCTACATGAAGTTCATGGTCAGAGTTGTGAAAAGGCTGACGCATCTACATCTGCATGTAGTAGAGATCCAGTGCAGCCAGTTCACCGTCTGCACCCAGGCTCTCTGCTGTCATGGTGAAAAGCCGTGAGTGATTGGTTGGAGGCCCGTTTGATCCACTACATGCAAGCACTATTGGCCAACTTTTGTTATCAGCCTAGCCGAAAGCGCACACAACAAGAAACTCGTCCCAGATATGTCGGAAACTTGTACGACAACATCGTCAGCACTAGAGTTTTTTTTCGCACTGATCTTTACAGATTTCTGTGCAAGTCCATGGCAGCCGAAAATCGGGCTAGTGTGGACTAGGCATAAGTAATGATTTGCTGCACTGTGTTGGTCTTTGTATTGTGTATGGTGTTGCAGCTTGCACTGTGCTGCATTGTGCTGGGCTGTGCTGTGCAGTGCTGGGCTGCATTGTGCTGTGCTGCACTGTACTGTACTGTACTGTACTGTACTGTACTGTGCTGCACTGTACTGTACTGTACTGTACTGTACTGTGCTGCACTGTACTGTGCTGTACTGTGCTGCACTGTACTGTACTGTACTGTACTGTACTGTACTGTACTGTGCTGCACTGTACTGTACTGTGCTGTACTGTACTGTACTGTACTGTACTGTGCTGTACTGTGCTGCACTGTACTGTACTGTGCTGTACTGTACTGTACTGTACTGTACTGTACTGTACTGTACTGTGCTGTACTGTACTGTACTGTACTGTACTGTGCTGTACTGTACTGTACTGTACTGTGCTGTACTGTACTGCATTGTGCTGTGCTGCACTGTACTGTACTGCATTGTGCTGTGCTGCACTGTGCTGCACTGTGCTGCACTGTGCTGTACTGCGCTGTTTCATGTTTCCTGGTATCATGTGTGTGCTGATTAGCACACCAAGACTCCGTTACTTGTTTCTCCTTGAATTAAGTCTGTGCGGTGTTTTCTGGTTTGTGTGTTGCAATACAGTTATTGTGATTTCATATGAATGGCTCTTGCAAGATATAATTTATTAAATTTTATTTTGTGTTTCTGTTACTCATTACCTGGTGTGTTCTCTTGTCTGATTCTCTGTGTTTTATTTCAGTGAAAGATTTTCAGAGATCTCAGCGTACTGGCTGTTCTCTGTTATTCCTCCGCGGTCATGAAACAAAGCTGAGTGGCATTCAGTAGCATTCTTCTGCCTGGGAAAATCACAGGATTGGAGGGCAAAGATGGTGGTAGTTGTGTGCCGAACGCTCTAATGCATGTATATCTGCCAGAAGACTGGAGTGAAGTGAGTAAGTAGACTTTCTATTGTTAATAATCTGCTATTTGTTACTACTGATAACTGTACAATATTCACCACACATTATTGTTTGCTATTTTCACATTAAAGGGGAAGTTAAGCCTAAAATCAAATTTTCACCAGTTGTAGTCTGCGGGGTGCTGAGTCGAATGGTCGTGGTCCGAGGAAGCTGAGACGCTCCCTTCCTACTTTAATCCCAATCGAACTCGCGCACTTCCACCGAAACTGGGTGGCTGCGCCCTACCAGATAGGGATTTGTATGCAAAATGTCACTAAAAGCGCCATTTCGTTCTTATAAAAGCACGGATGACCGCGATTGGCCAATATGTTGTAGTCTTTTGGACGCTGAGTCGACTGGCTTTGGTCCGAAAAGGCTGCGATGCAACATTCCTCCTTTATTCCCAATTGAACATGGTTGAACAAGCGGTCACGTGCTTCTGCTTCCCCAAGTCGCTTGCTGGTCACTGCGCCAGCAGGCGACAACTTTCACACCAAGGTTCAACTCGAGTGACAGGACTGCACCCAAAAAAGGTCAAACAGGCTAGTAAGTTGTACCCTGCAGGCACGGTGACCAGGTGACTGGTGTAAAATGTATACGCGTGGTCAATCGCTGAAGTATTACTAAACCGTTGATATTACTACTGGTGGTGCTATTTCTCCTGACTCCATTGTCTTTCTGTGCTGTGATTTCTGTGCTACTGTGGCTGCTCCTGTGTGTGTTACTCTTGCTGCTGCTGCTTTTGTTGCTGCTGCTGCTGTTGCTGCCCGTGTGGGTGTATGTGTGTGCGTGTGTGTGTGTGTGTGTGTGTGTGTGTGTGTGTGTGTGTGTGTGTGTGTGTGTGTGTGTTGGCCTTGCCCGTCACAAGTGTGTGGCTCAGTCCCCAGCCGCAGTGGAGCCGTGTTGTGGCGCGCACTGTGCGTCCTGCGGCTGCTGCTTCCGTACGGTCTAGGGCAGGAATAGACACCGCTGTTCAGGTTCTCCCCCGGCCATACATCAGTCTCGGGGAAACAGTCGTAGGTGACCTTAATCCCGGTGACCTCTCGTTGTGTCCCGGACGCCGTGGGACGGCATTCTCCTCTTCTCTCAGTCTCGCGGAACCAGTCGTAGGTGACCTGAATCCCGGTGACCTTTCGTTGTGTCCCGGACGCCGTGGGACGGCATTCTCCTTCTCTGCTCCTCCAGGCCCACGTGACCCTTGTGGCAGTGGCTCGATAGGACAGGACAGGACAGGTGTGTGTGTTACTCTTGTTTTTGTTGCTGTTGTAGCTGCTTCTGCTTCTGCTGTTGTTGCTCTCGCTGTTGTTGCTGCTGCTGTTGCCGCTGTTGCTTTTGCTGTTGTTGCTGCTGCTGTTGTTGCTGCTGCTGTTGTTGCTGCTGCTGTTTTTGTCGCTGTTGTTGCTGCTGTTGTTGCTTCTGCTTCTGCTGTTGTTGCTTCTGCTTCTGCTGTTGTTGCTCTTGCTGTTGTTGCTGCTGCTGTTGCTGCTGTTCCCTTTTTTGCTGCTGTTCCTGTTGTGAGGTCGCTGTTGCTGCTGTTGCTTTTGCTGTTGTTGCTGCTGCTGTTGTTGCTGCTGCTGTTGTTGCTGCTGCTGTTGTTGCTGCTGCTGTTGTGCTGTTGCTGTTGCTGTTGTTGCTGCTGCTGTTGTTGCTGCTGCTGTTGCTGTCGCTGGTTGCTGCTGTTGCTTTTGTTGCTGCTGTTGTTGTTGCTGCTGTTGCTGTTGCTGCTGCTATTTCTGCCTCCTACCTCTGCTACTGCTGCTGTTTCTGTGGCTGCTGTTGATGTTGCTGCAGCAGTCATGTCTCTTTCTGTATGTGTGTGTGTGTGTGTGTGTGTGTGAAAAAATGAAAAATAGGGTTTCACTGGCCAGAACAAGTCGCTTCAAACAGCTGTGTGGTGGTTACTAGGCTAGTCAAGTGGCGATCAATTCATCAGCCTTGCAAGCTGTTGAATGGTGTGATCCCAGCACAAGTCGCTATGTCTAACATAGCTGTTCGCTATCATCGCTTCCGCGATGGGCATGTCTGAGGTCTGAGGTGTGTGTTTGTGTGTGTATTCATGTGTTGTCATAGTGTCTATTGCGGATAGCGTTGCCAGTGTCTCTACTGTTACTGCTGCTTCCTCCATGGTCAGCTGTGCTGAACAGTGATCCATTACGTGTGTGTCAGCGAGTACTCAGATGATGGGCAGAAATCTGGATGGCAGAGCTGCGTCTTAGTAAGGTACAGGTTGTGTCTAAGGATTTCTTTTTGTCAGCTACTTTCCCTTGCCCGTCTCCTGTTTCCATATATGGGTGGGTTTAAACTAGTATAGCACGGATCTGGTTTGAAAATAATCCCCGGTCACATGACCACACTGTGGTAGTTTTGGTGGGAACTTGAAGACGGCTGGTCATGTACTGTCATTTCTGAATATGACGTTTACTGCTGGTGATACTGCCACTGCAAGTGTTTCTATACTGGTGATAGTGCTACTGCAGCTATTGATGTGCTGCCAACTAATGTAGCTGCTGTGCTGGCAAGACCTGTACTGTTGCTATGCTGGCAAGACCTGTACTGTTGCTGTGCTGTTGCTTTCGCTAATGTTGTTGCTGCTGCTGCTGTTGCTGTTTCAGGGGTATTATCCGCAGTGGCGGCGTGGTTGCTCTTATTGAAGCGGGTTGTTCTGCCATGGTCTCCATATGCAAAGTGATCTGTTGGCTGATGGACGGATGCCGGGATGGTTCAGAAATGAAAGGTATATGTTTTTAATTAACTGTCACCCCTGCACTGTTAGCACCCCCCCCCCCCCATCACACAGCACCCATATTCACATGGAATAGCATTGTATAATGGGAGAATTGTGCAGAGAATAATTGTTTAACTTCAACTTCTCCTCGTTGCATGTCCAGCTATACACAGGGTTGGAAGGGACTTTTTGTTTACACTTTACATACTCATTCATTAATTCCTTCTCTTCCATTTCCATGGCATTCTCTACAAACTCTCCTTCCCGTGACACCAAGAAATGGTGGCTCTGCTTATTCAAATTGTTGTGTCTATCTCTCTGTTGCTGCCGCAGCTGCTGCTGATCTTGACACTGTTACTGCTGCTATTGCTGGTGTTGGCTGTGCTGGTCATGCTGCTTCTGCTGCGGATGCTATTGCTATTGCTGCTGCTGCTGTTGCTGTTGTTGTTTCCACTATTTGCCTGTTTATCCCTCTGTTTCAGTTGCAGTTGCTGGTAGAGTTGCTGAGAGTGTGATGCTGCTGTGATAGAGATCATGACTCATGGTGTTGTCAGTAGCTGTACTATTCCTCTGCTTCATCTCTGGTCCTGGGTAACAGGAATCAGATGTATGCAGATCAGTGAGGTTTCTGATGACCTACACATACCTGGATGATATTGCTGCAATGCAGAAAGGTACAGCTTGTAGAAAAATATAATCTGATTGTTAACTACATTATCTTGCCCCTCTCTTCTTTCCCTATTTAGATGTGTTGAAACTAATAATCAAAACAGGTAGAATTGGATAATTGCCCTGGTGAAATGACTGCACATTGTTTTTACCTGCAACTATTGCTACTGTTGCTACTGTTGCTGTTGCTGTTGTTATTGCTGCTGTTTCTGGTCCTGCTGCTGCTGCTGTTGTTGTTGTTGCTGCTGTTGCTGCTGCTGTTGCTGCTTTTGGTGCTGCTGTTGTTGTTGTTGTTGTTGTTGTTGTTGTTTTTGTTGTTGTTGTTGCTTCTGCTGCTGTTGCTGCTCATCCAGTGTTGCTGTTGTTGTTGTTGTTGTTGTTGTTGTTGTTTTTGTTGTTGTTGTTGCTTCTGCTGCTGTTGCTGCTCATCCAGTGTTGCTGTTGTTGTTGCTTCTGCTGCTGTTGCTAATGCTGCTGTTTTTCTGCTGTTGTGATTGTTGCTGCTGCTCTTGCTGTTGCTGTTGCTGCTGCTTTTGCTTCTGCTGCTGTTGCTAATGCTGCTGTTTTTTCTGCTGTTGTGGTTGTTGCTGCTGCTCTTGCTGTTGCTTTTGCTGCTGCTTTTGCTGTTGCTGTTGTCGCTGCTCTTGGTGCTATTAGTCTTGCGGTCGTCGTTGGAGCTACTGCTGCTGCTGCTGTTATTTTTGCTGCTGTTGTTTCTACTGTTGGTGCTATTGGTCTTGCTGTTGTTGCAGCTATTCGAATTCTTTATTCTCAGGATCGTACCATCGTCAAAAAGGAATTGTTGCTGCTGTTGTTGCTATTATTCTTGTTGCAGTTATTGTTGCTGTTGTTGGTGATTCAGAGGACGTGATTTCTCGGTGGCATTCAGTAGCATTCGTCTGCCGGGGAAAATCACAGGATTGGAGGGCAAAGATGGTGGTAGTTGTGTGCCGAACGCTATAATGCAAGTATATCTGACAGAAGACTGTAGTGAAGTGAGTAAGTAGACTTTCTATTGTTAATAATCTGCTATTTGTTACTACTGGTAACTGTACAATATTCACCACACATTATTGTTTGCTATTTTCAAGACAAGAGAGTAAGGGCCAGGTTCCACTGCGGCTCCGCTGCTCATCGTCCGCGGCTTGAAACGTCATCATTACCATAGTGACCGCGGCTCGAGCTGGAGCAGCGAGGTCGCGGCTCACAGCGACCTTTTGCTACGATTCTTGATCAAAAACTGAGAGCCGCGGTCGCGGCTCGATCTGTTTCCCGTGCTTTGCACAGTTTTGTACGCAAGAATTTTAAAATTCAAATTTCATTTCGTTGCGCAGGCCAGAACACGAGGTTTTTTTGATTTCGTGGTACCGCAAATGATGAGTGTCAGTGGAACCGCGCTGCTCCGCTGCATGCAGCCAAGTGCCGCAGAGCAGCCGAGCCGCAGTGGAACCCGGCCCTAATGTGAATATTGATCGAAGTCAAATTTGAACAGTGAGTTTATGAAAGTGGCCACAGTCCTTTGCGAACATTATCCATTGTAAACTCCCTGGTTCTAAGAAATGGCGAAAATTTAGTGACGCGAATATCGGTGTGTTTCCAGAATTCTAATTTTACCATACTAACAAGTCAGACATGCATTATGTGATTATTGTACTGTAGGGTGATGAAATTTGTACCGGCTAGGATTTCACAACACACACCATACCGGTATATACCGTAAAATCCCACCAGAGCGCACCGTCTCTTCCATGCGCCCATCCTTGACTTTTTGTCAGGAAAGTGATTGATTGTATTCTCGTATGACTCCATGATGCCGTACTGTACTGCAGATGAGTGCTCGACCCGGTCATTTTTCCTACTAGTGATGGTGCTGTTCCTGGTGATGGTGATGGTCCCGCAACTGTTCCTTCTGCTGCTGGTATAGCTGCTACTGTTGCTGCTGGTATTGCTGCTACTGTTGCTGCTACTGTTGCTGCTGCTGGTGAAGCTATTTATGCAACTGCATGTTGCTGCTTTTTGTTTCTTTTTTTCTTTCTGAATTTTCCCGTTGCACTGCCACAGATATGTTTGTGTTATCGTATCAACAGCAGAGCGGTCGTCCTGTTATTTCTGTAGCTGTGTAGCAGATGGATGTGAGTACTACAAGGTATGTCAAAGAGTATCATCAACTGTACTTGTACATTTAAACAGACGGCGAGGTGACAACAACAATTTTAAGATGCCAATGAACAGAATCAGCTAAAGCGACATGTTACGAAAGTTTTATTGTGCTTATACAGCTTCTTATACAATGTATACGAGTGGGCAATTGCTGAAGTATTATTAAACCATTGATAATGCTACTGGTGGTGCTATTTCTCCTGACTCCATTGTCTTTCTGTGCTGTGCTTTCTGTGCTACTGTTCCTGCTCGTGTGTGTGTGTGTGTGTGTGTGTGTGTGTGTGTGTGTGTGTGTGTGTGTGTGTGTGTGTGTGTGTTGGCCTTGCCTGTCACAAGTGTGTGGCTCAGTCCCCAGCCGCAGTGGAGCCGTGTTGTGGCGCGCACTGTGCGTTCTGCGGCCGCTGCTTCCGTTCGGTCCAGGGCAGGAATAGACACCGCTGCTCAAGTTCTCCCCCGGCCATACCTCAGTCTTGGGGTAACAGTCCTAGGTGACCTGAATCCTGGTGATCTCTCGTTGTGTCCTGGACGCCGTGGGACGGCGTTCTCCTCTTCTCTCTCCGTTGCTACTCCAGGCCCACGAGACCCTTGTGGCAATGGCTCGATAGAACAAGACAGGACAGGTGTGTATGTGTTTGTGTGTAACTCTTGCTGCTGCTGTCGCTGTTTTTGCTGCTGCTGTTGTTGCTGCTTCTGCTTCTGCTGTTGTTGCTCACGCTGTTGTTGCTGCTGCTGCTGTTGCTGCTGCTGTTGCTGCTGCTATTTCTGCCTCCTACCTCTACTGCTACTGCTGCTGTTTCCGCTGTTTCTGTGGCTGCCGGTGATGTTGCTGCAGCAGTCACGTCTCCTTCTGTATGTTTGTGTGCGCGTGTGAAAAAAAAAAATGAAAAATAGGGATTCACTGGCCAGAATAAGTCACTTCAAACAGCTGTGTGGTGGATACCAGGCTAAAAATAATGGCGGTAAATTCATCAGCCTTGCAAGCTGTCGAATGGTGTAATCCCAGCACAAGTTGCTATGTCTAACAAAGCTGTTCGCTATCATCGCTTCCCCGATGGGCATGTCTGAGGTCTGAGTTGTGTGTGTGTGTTTGTGTGTGTTTGTGTGCATGTGCGTGTGCGTGTGTGTGTTCATGTGTTCATGTGCTGTCATAGTGTCTATCGCGGATAGCGTTGCCAGTGTCTCTACGGTTACTGCTGCTTCCTCCATGGTCAGCTGTGCTGAACAGTGATCCGTTACGTGTGTGTCAGCGAGTACTCAGATGATGGGCAGAAATCTGGATGGCAGAGCTGATTCTTAGTAAGGTACAGGTTGTGTCTAAGGATTTCTTTTTGTCAGCTACTTTCCCTTGCCTGTCTCCTGTTTCCATATATGGGTGGGTTTAAACTAATATACCACGGATCTGGTTTGAAAATAATCCCCGGTCACATGACCACACTGTGGTAGTTTTGGTGAGAACTTGAAGACGGCTGGCCATGTACTGTCATTTCTGAATGTGACGTTTACTGCTGGTGATACTGCAACTGCAAGTGTGTCTATACTGGTGATAGTGCTACTGCAACTATTGATGTGCTGGAAACTTATGTAGCTGCTATGCTGGCAAGACCTGTACTGTTGCTGTGCTGGCAGGACCTATACTGTTGCTGTCCTGGCAAGACCTGTACTGTTGCTGTACTGTTGCTGTTCTGTTGCTTTCGCTAATGTTTTGTTTGCTGCTGCTGTTACTGTTTCAGGGGTATTTTCCGCAGTGGCGGCGTGGTTGCTTTTATTGCAGCGAGTTTTTCTTCTAAGGTCTCCATATGCAAAGTGATCTGTTGGCTGATGGACGGATGCCGGGATGGTTCAGAAATGAAAGGTACATTTTTTTATTAACTAGTACCCCTGAACTGTTATCACCCCCAACCCCTGCCCCGCTCCCCCCCCCCCCCCCCCCCCATCACACGGCACCCATATTCACATGGAATAGCATTGTATAATGGGAGAATTGGGCATGGAATAATAGTTTCACTTCAACTTCTCCTCGTTACAGACAACTCTCATACTCCTACCTGTGTTGTCTATACATTAGAAAGTGAGTTATCTAAGTTTTAACCACTGCATATCTAGATCACCACTCTTGTCTACAGTGTACGTAAGCCTCTATGTGTATATTTGCATGTCCAGCTATGCACAGGGTTGAATGGGACATTTTGTTTGCACTTTACATACTCATTCATTAATTCCATCTCTTCCATTTCCATGGCATTCTCTCCAAAATCTCCTTCCCATGACAGCAAGGAATGGTTGCTCTGCTTATCCAAACTGTTGTGTCTGTCTCTCTGCTGTTATTGTTGCTGCTGATCTCGGCACTGTGACTACTGCTGTTGCTGGTGTTGGCTGTGCTGGTCAGGCTGGTTTCTGCTGCTGCTGCGGCTGCTGTTGTTGCTGTTGCTGTTGTTTCCACTACTTGCCTCTTTATACCTCTGTTGCAGCTGCTGGTACAGTTGCTGAGAGTGTGATGCTGCTGTGATAGAGATCATGACTCATGGTGATGTCAGTAGCTGTACTATTCCTCTGCTTCATCTCTGGTCCTGGGTAACAGGAATCAGATGTATGCAGATCAGTGAGGTTTCTGATGACGTACACATACCTGGATGATATTGCTTCAATGCAGAAAGGTACAGATTGTAGAAAAATATAATCTTATTGTTAACTACATTATCTTGCCCCTCCCTTCTTTCCCTATTTAGATGTGTTCAAACTAATAATCAAAACCGGTAGAATTGGATAATTGTCCTGGGGAAATGACTGCACATTGTTTTTATCTGCAACTATTGCTACTGTTGCTCCTGTTGCTGTTGCTGTTAATATTGCTGCTGTTTCTGGTCCTGCTGCTGCTGCTGTTTCTGGTCCTGCTGCTGCTGCTGCTGTTGCTGCTGCTGTTGCTGTTAATATTGCTACGGTTTCTGGTCCTGCTGCTGCAGCTGCTGCTGTTGCTGCTGTTATTGTTGTTGCTTTTGCTGCTGTTGCTGCTGTTGCTGCTGCTGTTGTTGCTGCTGTTGCTGCTACTGCTGCTGTTGTTGCTGCTGCCGCTGGTGCTGCTGCTACTGCTACTGCTACTGTTGTTACTGCTGTTGCTGCTATTGCTGTTGCTACCGTTACTGTTGTTTTTGCTGTTGTTGCTGCTGTTGCTGCTATTGCTGCTGTTGGTATTGCTGCTATGTCTGCTATTGCTGTTGCTACCGTTGCTGCTGTGGTCGCTGTGTCTGCTGTTGCTACCACTGCTGTTGCTGCTTCTTCTGTTGCTACCAATGCTGTTGTTTCTGCTGCTGCTGTCGCTGTTGTTGCTATTGCTGCTGTTTCTGCTGTTTACATTGCTGCTGTTGGTGCTTCTTCTGTTGCTACCACTGCTGTTGTTTCTGCTGCTACTGCTGCTGCCGCTGTTGTTGTTATTGTTCTGCTGTTTCTGCTGTTTGCATTGCTGCTGTTGGTGCTGCTGTTGTTGCTGCTTTTGCTGCTGCTGCTGCTGCTACTTTTGGGGCTGCTGTTGCTGGTGCTTGATCTGTTGTTATTGCTGTTGTTGCTGCTGTTATTTTTGCTCCTCCTGTTTCTACTGTTGGTGCTGTTAGTCTTGCTGTTGTTGCAGCTATTTGAGTTCTTTATTCTCACGATGGTACCATCGTCAAAATTCAATTGTTGCTGATGTGGTTGCTGCTATTACTCTCGTTGCAGCTGTTGTTGCTGTTGTTGGTGATTCAGAGGAGGTGATTTCTCGGTGGCATTCAGTAGCATTCGTCTGCCGGGGAAAATCACAGGATTGGAGGGCAAAGATGGTGGTAGTTGTGTGCCGAACGCTCTAATGCAAGTATATCTGCCAGAAGACTGTAGTGAAGTGAGTAAGTAGACTTTCTATTGTTAATAATCTGCTATTTGTTACTACTGGTAACTGTACAATATTCACCACACATTATTGTTTGCTATTTTCACGACAAGAGAGTAAGGGCCAGGTTCCACTGCGGCTCCGCTGCTCCGCTGCTCATCATCCGCGGCTTGATACGTCATCATTACCATAGTGACCGCGGCTCGAGCTGGAGCAGCGAGGCCGCGGTTCACAGCAACCTTTTGCTACGATTCTTGATCAAAAACCGCGAGCCACGGTCGCGGCTCGACCTGTTTCCCGTGCTTTGCACTGTTTTGTACGCAAGAATATTAAAATTCAAATTTTATTTCGTTGCGCAGGCCAGAACACGAGGTTTTTTTGATTTTGCGGTACCGCGAATGATGAGTGTCAGTGGAACCGCGCTGCTCCGCTGCATGCAGCCAAGTGCCGCTGGGCAGCCGAGCCGCGGAGCCGCAGTGGAACCCGGCCCTAATGTGAATATTGACTAACCAGAGAAAAGTCAAATTTGAACAGTGAGTTTATGAAAGTGGCCACAGTCCTTTGCGAACATTATCCATTGTAAACTCCCTGGTTCTAAGAAATGTCGAAAATTTATTGACGCGAATATCGGTGTGTTTCTAGAATTCTAATTTTACCATACTAACAAGTCAGAAATGTATTATGTGATTATAGCACTGTAGGGTGATGAAATTTGTACCGGCTAGGATTTCACAACACACACCATACCGGTATATACCATAAAATCCCACCAGAGCGTCCCATCTCTTCCATGCGCCCCTCCCTGACTTTTTGTCAGGGAAGTGATTGATTGCATCCTTGTGTGACTCCATGATGCCGTACTGTACTGCAGACGAGTGCTCGACCCGGTCATTTTTCTTACTAGTGATGGTGCTGTTGCTGGTGATGGCGATGGTCCCGCAACTGTTGCTACTGCTGTGTGGTATTGCTGCTACTGTTGCTGCTGGTGATGGTGCTGCTTGTGCTGTTGTTACTGCTGCTGGTGATGCTATTTATGCAACTGAATGTTGCTGCTTTTTGTTTGTGTTTTTCTTTCTGAATTTTCCCGTTGCACTGCTACAGATATGTGTGTGTTATCGTATCAACAGCAGAGCGGTCGTCCTGTTATTTCTGCAGCTGTGTAGCAGATGGATGTGACTACTACAAGGTATGTCAAAGAGTATCATCAACTGTACTTATACAGCTTCCTATAAAATGTATACGAGTGGGCAATCTCTGAAGTATTATTAACCCTTTAAGAGCCGCCCCATACTTGAATGCGTCGTAAACGACGCATTCAAATGCAAAACTTCAAAAGATCGTAACTCAGTCCAATCTCGCTCAAATCCAGTGATCGAAATATCCAGGGCGAAGAGAAAACTCTCACCTGTCGGGAGAAACAATCCGCGAAGCGCTGCGAGCAACGGTTCCTGAGATAAATTACTCGTAAGTTGAGCCGCGATCGCGGCAATTTCAAAAGCGCGCAGTGCGACTTTAGTATTGAGGATTTTGAGACTTTTCGTCACGCTGGTTTACTCGAATTTGCACGGGTTTCACTGTTGATATTGTCAAGAGTACACAGCGAAAAAATTGGAACTCCACGATCGAGTAAAATGAAATATCTGGAGCGGGACGCAATTGGACGCATTTGGGGCATTTTTCGTACTGTCGCTGCGATCTAGCGCTGGATAGACGGTGTGCTGGCTATCATGATCAACCTCATTCTCTTCCTCTCGCGGAGACCTTTCCAGGAAGCCCTAGATTGTGAGAATTGAGTGAGTAGAACTGAAGCTATGATCCAAGGAACACGAAAAAATGCAGAAATTTCAAATTTTCCTGTGGCTCTTAAAGGGTTAAACCATTGATATTGCTACTGGTGGTGCTATTTCTCCTGACTCTATTCTCTTTCTGTGCTGTGCTTTCTGTGCTACTGTTGCTGCTCGTGTGTGTGTGTGTGTATATGTATGTGTGTGTGTGTGTGTGTGTGTGTGTGTGTGTGTGTGTGTGTGTGTGTGTGTGTGTGTGTGTGTGTGTGTGTGTGTGTGTTGGCCTTGCCCGTCACAAGTGTGTGGCTCAGTCCCCAGCCGCAGTGGAGGCGTGTTGTGGCGTGCACTGTGCGTCCTGCGGCCGCTGCTTCCGTTAGGTCCAGGGCAGGAATAGACACCTTTGCTCAGGTTCTCCCCCGGCCATACCTCAGTCTTGGGGTAACAGTCCTAGGTGACCTGAATCCTGGTGATCTCTCGTTGTGTCCTGGACGCCGTGGGACGGCGTTCTCCTCTTCTCTCTCCGTTGCTCCTCGGGGCCCACGTGACCTTGTGGCAGTGGCTCGATAGGACAGGACGGGACAGGTCTGTTTGTGTGTGTTACTCTTGACTTTGTTGCTGTTGTTGCTGCTACTGTTGGTGTTGCTGCTGTTGCTGCTTCTGCTGCTGCTGTTGCTTTTGTTGCTGCTGTTGGTGCTGCTGCTGTTGCTGCTGTTGCTGTTGCTGCTGTTGCTGTTGCTGTCGCTGTTGTTGCTGCTTCTTCAGCCGCGCCGCTGCTGCTGCTGTTGTTGTTGCTGCTGTTGCTTTTGTTGCTGCTGTTGGTGTTGCTGCTGTTGGTGTTGCTGCTGTTGCTGTCGCTGTTGTTGCTGCTTCTGCTGCTGCTGTTGCCTTTGTTGCTGCTGTTGGTGTTGCTGCTGTTGCTGTTGCTGCTGTTGCTGTCGCTGTTGCTGCTTCTGCTTCTGCCGTTGTTGCTCTCGCTGTTGTTGCTGCTGCTGTTGCTGCTGTTGCTGCTGCTGTTGTTGCTGCTGCTGTTGCTGTCGCTGTTTTTGCTGCTGCTGTTGTTGCTGCTGCTGTTGTTGCTGCTGCTTCAGTTGTTGCTTCTGCTTTTCCTGTTGTTGCTCTCGCTGCTGCTGTTGCTGCTGTTGCTTATGCTGTTATTGCTGCTGCTGTTGTTGCTGCTGCTGTTGCTGTCGCTGTTTTTGCTGTTGCTGTTGTTGCTCTCGCTGCTGCTGTTGCTGCTGTTGCTTATGCTGTTGTTGCTGCTGCTGTTGTTGCTGCTGATGTTGCTGTCGCTGTTTTAGCTGTTGCTGTTGCTGCTGCTGCTGTTGCTTCTGCTTCTGCTGTTGTTGCTCTCGCTGTTGTTTCTTCTACTGTTGCTGCTGTTGCTGTTGCTGCTGTTGCTGTCGCTGTTGTTGCTGCTTCTGCTTCTGCCGTTGTTGCTCTCGCTGTTGTTGCTGCTGCTGCTGTTGCTGCTGCTGTTGTTGCTGCTGCTGTTGCTGTGGCTGTTTTTGCTGCTGCTGTTGCTGTCGCTGCTGTTGTTGTTGTTGCTCTCGCTGCTGCTCAGGTTGCTACTGTTGCTTATGCTGTTGTTGCTGCTGCTGTTGTTGCTGCTGCTGTTGTTGCTGCTGCTGTTGCTGTCGCTGTTTGTGCTGCTGCTGTTGCTGTCGCTGCTGTTGCTGTTGCTGCTGCTGCTGTCGCTGCTGCTTCTGCTTTTGCTGTTGTTGCTCACGCTGTTGTTTCTGCTACTGTTGCTGCTGTTGCTTTTGTTGCTGCTGTGGTTGTTGCTGTTGTTGTTGCTGCTGTTGCTGTCGCTGTTGGTGCTGCTATTTCTGCTTCCTACCTCTACTGCTACTGATACTGTTTCCGCTGTTTCTGTGGCTCCTGTTGACTTCGCTGCAGTAGTCACGTCTTTTTCTGTGTGTGTGTGTGTGGCTGTGTTTTCACGTGCTGTCATAGGGTATATTTCGGATAGCGTTGCCAGTGTCTCTACTGCTTCTGCTGTTGTTGCTCTCGCTGTTGTAGCTGCTGCTGCTGTTGCTGTTGCTGCTGCTATTTCTGCTTCCTACCTCTACTGCTACTGATACTGTTTCCGCTGTTTCTGTGGCTCCTGTTGACTTCGCTGCAGTAGTCACGTCTTTTTCTGTGTGTGTGTGTGTGGCTGTGTTTTCACGTGCTGTCATAGGGTATATTTCGGATAGCGTTGCCAGTGTCTCTACTGTTACTGCTGCTTCCTCCATGGTCAGCTGTGCTGAACAATGATCCGTGACGTGTGTGTCAGCGAGTACTCAGATGATGGGCAGAAATCTGGATGGCAGAGCTGCATCTTAGTAAGGTACAGGTTGTGTCTAAGGATTTCTTTTTGTCAGCTACTTTCCCTTGCCTGTCTCCTGTTTCCATATATGGGTGTGTTTAAACTAGTATAGCACGGATCTGGTTTGAAAATAATCCCCGGTCACATGACCACACTGTGGTAGTTTTGGTGAGAACTTGAAGACGACTGGTCATGTACTGTCATTTCTGAATGTGACGTTTACTGCTGGTGATACTGCTTGTGCAAGTGTTTCCATACTGGTGATAGTGCTACTGCAAGTGTTTCTATACTGGTGGTTGTGCTACTGCAGCTATTGATGTGCTGGAAACTAATGTAGCTGCCGTCCTGGCAAGACCTCTACTATTGCTGTACTGGAAAGACCTTTTCTGTTGCTGTGCTGGAAAGACCTTTACTGTTGCTGTACTGGAAAGACCTGTACTATTGCTGTGCTGGCAAGACCTTTACTGTTGTACTGTTGCTTTCGCTAATGTTGTTGTTGCTGCTGCTGTTGCTGTTTCAGGGGTATTTTCAGCAGTGGCGGCGTGGTTGTTCTTATTGCAGCGGGTTGTTCTGTCATGGTCTCCATATTCAAAATGATCTGTTGGCTGATGGACGGATGCCGGGATGGTTCAGAGTGAAAGGTACTTTTTTTAATTAACTGTCACCCCTGCACTGTTAGCACCCCAACCCCTGCCCCGCTCCGTCCCCCCCCCCCCCCTCATCACACAGCACCCATATTCACATGGAATAGCATTGTATAATGGGAGAATTGTGCATGGAACGAGAGAGTTTGGAAGCTCAGGGCCCTACGCTATGCTTTTTTGCCTTGATGACCTAGACAAAAAAAAGCATAGGGATGTTATAAATTCTTTAAAAAAAATCCTCTTTTTTTTAAGACATAACCTGGGATTCGATCCCGCACTATCGCGCGCCCTGCATGCATCCCCCGATACACTTCGCATACATACTAATTCTTCCAAGTTGTTTCACAATGTGATCTGATGGCAAAAAGCATAGGATGTTATAAATTTTTCAATTCTCCTATTTTTTTCAGGCATATCCTGGGATTCGCCAGGCGTGACACAAACAAACAAACAAACAAACACACACACACAAATACCAAATTAAAGCTGTGTGGACCTTGGCTAGCGCCAGACGTTACTGAAGTAACGTCTTCTGCATAGCTACGGGAATAATAGTTTGACTTCAACTTCTCCTCGTTACAAACAACTCTCATACTCCTACCTGTGTTGTCTATCCATTAGAAAGTGAGTTATCTAAGTTTTAACCACTGCATATCTAGATCACCACTCTTGTCTACAGTGTACGTAAGCCTCTATGGGTATATTTGCATGTCCAGCTATACACAGGGTTGGAAGAGACATTTTGTTTGCACTTTACATACTCATTCATTAATTCCATCTCTTCCATTTCCATGGCATTCTCTCCAAACTCTCCTTCCCATGACAGCAAGGAATGGTAGCTCTGCTTATCCAAACTGTTGTGTCTGTCTCTCTGCTGTTATTGCTGCTGCTGCTGCTGCTGATCTCGGCACTGTGACTACTGCTGTTGCTGGTGTTGGCTGTGCTGGTCGTGCTGGTTTCTGCTGCTGCTGCGGCTGCTGTTGTTGCTGTTGTTGTTGTTTCCACTACTTGCCTCTTTATACCTCTGTTCCAGTTGCTGGTAGAGTTGCTGACAGTGTGATGCTGCTGTGATAGAGATCATGACTCATGGTGTTGTCAGTAGCTGTACTATTCCTCTGCTTCATCTCTGGTCCTGGGTAACAGGAATCAGATGTATGCAGATCAGTGAGGTTTCTGATGACGTACACATACCTGGATGATATTGCTGCAATGCAGAAAGGTACAGCTTGTAAAAAAATATAATCTTATTGTTAACTACATTATTTTGCCCCTATCTTCTTTCCCTATTTAGATGTGTTCAAACTGATAATCAAAACAGGTCGAAATGGATAATTATCCTGGGGAAATGACTGCACATTGTTCTTATCTGCAACTATAGCTACTGTTGCTACTATTGCTGTTGCTGTTGTTATTGCTGCTGTTTCTGGTCCTGCTGCTGCTGCTGTTGCCGCTCCTGTTGTTGTTGTTGTTGTTGTTGTTGTTGTTGTTGTTGTTGTTGTTGTTGTTGTTGTTGTTGTTGTTGTTGTTGTTGTTGTTGTTGTTGTTGTTGTTTTTGTTGTTGTTTTGAAATCTTTTATTCTCACGATGGCCTGTGGCCAATAAGAGAAAAATAATTACAGGCACGGGGATCAGATACAGAGAGATCAAAGTTTAGCTGCTTGCTGAGGCAATAGCAATGGCAATAGGGAGTTTATCACATAGGCTGGGCGCAATGGAGCTATAGATGTGCTGAGCAATGTGAGCAAGTACATACGGAAGAGATGACAAGTGGTAGGATGTTTGCTTTGAAATCTCGTCTGGGGTTGATTTGCCGAAGGCTGAGTGGAATGCTATTAAAGAGATCAGGAGAAGCATAGATGGGGGAGTCTCTTAGCCGGTTTGTACGTGTTGTGGGTAGCTCAAAGGTTCGGGGGAACCTGAGCGTGCGAATGGGTTGTATTCGGGGTAGGTGAATTGCAAGAAGGTGTGGTGGTGCATATCTATGAAGCAGGCTATGTGCAAGAAGGATATGGGAGAGGGTACGGCGGCTGCTGAGTGATCGCCATTTGAGTCGGTGCAGCAGCACGGAGTGGGTTCTGTGTTCAAAGAGGGGGAGATGCAAACAGAGGCGAGTGGCGCGCCGTTGGATGCGCTCAAGCCGGTCGTTCAGGGTTGCGGGGAGGGGTGAGAGGACAGTGCAAGCATACTCAAGAATAGGGCGGATGTAAGTTACATAGTTGGAGGAGAGAGCAGAAGTGTTTAAGGAATTGCGTAGTCGCAGGAGAAGGAACATCTTCCTGGTCGCTTTAGTGATGATGTAGTCAACATGCGAGTTCCAGCATAGATTCTGCTGTATGAGGAGGCCAAGGTGGCGATGCCTTGAGGCCACAGTGAGGTTGGTATCGTTGAGTGTGATTGATGGTGGTCCGGAGGTGGCCGGTTGGTGTGGTGAAAGTGGATGACAGTGGTCTTACTTTCGTTGACCAGGAGATGCCAATCCTTCAGCCACTGTGCCGCGGTTGTCACAGCTGACTGGAGGTGCTCTTTTGCGGCTAGAAAATTCTCGTGAGCGGCAATGATGGCAGTGTCGTCGGCAAACTGGCTGCACTCAGTGTTGGCATTTATGCAGGCGGTTGGCAGATCAACTGTGTAGGCCGTGAACAAAAGCGACCCCAAGACAGAGCCTTGGGGGACCCCCGCTGGAATGTTCAGCCAGGTTGATTTGCTGCTCTCCACTTGCACACGTTGTCGTCTGTTGGTGAGATAAGAGGCAAGCCACTGGAGGCATTTGCCATCGAGTCCGAGGTGGGCCAATTTTGCAAGCAGTCCTTGGTGCCACACCCGGTCAAACGCCTAAGATAGGTCGAAGAAGCAAGCAATTACTGTTTGCCCGGCGTGTACGCGTGGAGGCGCTTTCCACCGCACATCAGAAACCGAAACGACAACTTGCTCGTCTTCTCAAGAACTCTCAACCACGAAGACACTGGCGCACGCAAAGCTACGTGGCACACAGCGCTCCAAAGAAGAAATGCGTAGATCACGTGCATGCATATGAGAAAAACAATGATGTCACGCTGCCATGACGATACACAAGCTGTACTGGCACGCAGTGGACAAAAATAATGGAAAATCAAGAAAAGTCAGAAAATAATACAAACAGTGAAATTCGAAAGTAGAAGTCAAAGGAAGTTCAAAGAACAAAGAAAACGAAGATCTGTGCTGATAGGAACTCAACGCAATTTCAACCATGTCCTGTCAGAGAGTGTTAGCACCCACAGGGTGAAGGCAAGCCTTGTCAGAGCAAAACCTACACTTGGACGGACCAGAGCTGCAGAACGGACTTTCTGAAGGAATGCAAAGATAAGTAACAATTCAAATTCGAGATAATCAACTTAGAAACAACACCAGCTGTTTTGTAACCTGTAAACTGCTTGTAACAATCAGCGATGTACTAGTAACTAACTCCTAGTAAACGCTTTGACTGTGCTCTCGGAAGAACGAAGGATTAACAAAATATAGAATAAACACAGTAGATAAATAATAGTGACACTCGTAAATTCTACAATATCTGGAGTCTTCTGCACAGTACATGAAGAACACACAGATCGCACAGGGAATACACAAGAGAACAGAGCGCACACAGATCGCACAGAGAACGCACAGAAAACACACAGAACGCACACCACTGCATACTGTCTTCAGAACATTCTCCCCCTCTTGATCAGACACGGATCAACCCTGCTTAGAACTCCAGTGGGCACAGCTTGGTGATTGGACGAGTGTAGCGCTTGCTGCCCACCAATACTTCGGCGACACGCACCTTGCCGTCTGCTCCTGGGAACACCTTGTCCACACGTCCCAGAGGCCACTGTCCGCGCGGAGTGTCCGACTGCAGTACGAGAACGGCGTCATCGGGCTGCAGGCTCTTCTGTGCATGCGGCCACTTGGTCCGACGGTTCAGGGCGGGCACCCACTCTTGCATCCAGCGCTTCCAGAAATGCTGGATTAACTCTTGTACAACTCGCCAACGGTTGCGAGGATGAAACGGCGTGTCATCCACCGACTCTGGAGCGAACCGACCTCCCGCTTGTCCCGTCAGGAAGTGATTTGGCGTCAGCACAGTCTGATCCTTCGGGTCTGCAGACTGATAACTCAGCGGACGAGAATTCAGTAGGCCCTCTGCACCACAAAAGGCTGTCATCAACTCCTCGTCGTTGACATCCGCATTGCCCAGAATGTGCTGGATTGCTCGCTTTGCGGATTTCACCATCGCCTCGTGAGCGCCACCGAAGTGTGGAGCGAGCGGAGGATTGAACGACCAGGTGAGACCGCGGTTGGCCGCTGAGCGCTGTACAGCATCCTGGTCCAGGGCGTCAACCAGTTCCTTGAGCTCTCGGTTGGCGCCGACGAAGTTAGTGCCGTTGTCCGACAACATCTGCATGGGCAGACCACGCCTGTCGACGAATCGAGACAGTGCGCGGAGGAAGGCATCTGTGTCAAGACCGTACGCCATCTCAAGGTGCACTGCTCGACTGAGTAGACATGTAAAGAGACACAAATATCGCTTCTCTCGCCGCTTGCCTCTGCCTTGGACTGTCACGAATGGCCCAGCAAAATCCACAGCTGTACGAGCGAATGCCCGCAATGGTGGTGATAGCCGCACCTTGGGCAGAGGCGCCATCTGCTGCTCCGCTGCTTTGGCTTTCTCTCTTCGACACACCGAACACTCACGCTCCCACTCTCGAATTGCTTCACGGGCAGACACTACCCAGAACGTTGAGCTTAGCGACGACAGCGTCTGGTTCGTGCCGCCATGCTGCTGCAGCTCGTGATGGTGCTTCACAATAAGCTGCGTGATGTGATGATTGCGTGGCAAGATCACTGGAAATCTCACGTTGTGTGGCAGCCACTCGGCGTACTGCGTCCTGCCGTCGCAACGCAGCAACCCATCTGCGTCGACCTTGGGGTTGAGCTTCAGTAGTGCTGATCTGGCTGGCACTACTTGCTTGTTGCGCACACTCTTCAGCTCGTCGCTAAACGCCTCGCTCTGAGCTTGCGCGATCCACAGTTGCTCGGCGTCACTGATCTCTTCTGCTGTCAGTTCACTGGTGATGCGAGTCCGGCCAGCGGAGTTGCCGATGAAGCGCATAACCCACCCTGTCACTCGCACGAGACGCAACCAATCGGAATATCGCTCGGGCTTCAGGCGAAATCCTGGCGGCTGTGCAACAGTTACGAAGCTCACTGCTTCCGCTGCGCTGCTCTGCTTAAACTCTTCAGCGCTCGGGGCTGTCGGTGGACCTGCTAGCAATGCCGGCCAGTCGGCTGAGTCACTGTGGAGAAATGACGGACCTTCCCACCACAATGAACTCTGGACTAATGCTGAGACCGTAGCACCACGTGACGCGAGATCCGCTGGATTGCTCGCTGTCGGTACATGCCGCCACTGTTGAGGTAGCGTAGCCGTCTGAATCAGTCCAATATGATGGGCAACGAATGGCTTGAACTTTCGACTGGCACTTCGAATCCAGTGGATCACGTCCATGCTGTCTGACCAGAAGACCACCTTGTCCATACTCAACTGCAACGCCGATGTCACTGAGGTTGCCAATTCCACTGCAATCACTGCTGCCATCAATTCCAGACGCGGAATGCTGGTGGCCTTGAGCGGTGTCACTCTCGTCTTGGCGGCTACCAATCGTACTTGGACAGTGTCGCTGCTCTTGCTTCTGGCATAGACAACCGCGCCATACGCCACACTGGATGCGTCAGCGAATACGTGCAGCTCCACATCGTCACTGCCGGGTGATCGAATGCAACGAGGAACTGCTACCTTGGTGAGATGAGGCAGTTGCTGAAACCACTCTGTGGCCGCTGCTAGTAGTGTGGGCGTCAGCGTGTCGTCCCAGTCCAGACCTGCTGCCCAGATATCCTGCATCAGGATCTTCCCCTGAACAACAAACGGTGCGATGAGGCCGAGGGGGTCGAACACTGTCGCCAGTTTCTTCAGGAATGCTCTCTTCGTGACGGACTGATCATGCTCCGGACTGAAGTTGAAGGAGAACACATCGTCCTGAGCGGACCATGCCACTCCGAGTGTCTTTGTTGCCGGTAGCTCGCTGCTGCTCAGGTCGATTACTGAGGCTCTATCGTCGATCGGCACGTTCTTCAATACCTCCTCGGAATTCGACAGCCACTTCCGTGCTTTCATTGACGCTGAGCCCCACAGCTGAGTCAGCT